GTTTATGATTTTCAACAAATAAAACCTTGGTTTATGTCAGGAGCACAATTTAAGTGGTATATGAAAATTAGATCCCATTTCGCCTGATTCGGCTTTTTGGTTTTCACACTAACAAAACTGAGTCAGAAATCCAATCAGTCGACATGTATAACAAAGGTAGATATTATGCGAAAAATAGTTAAAATCCATATAGAACTCATTACTCGTATTTCCAAAATTTTCATTATTATTAATTTTCATTATTTTCAGGTCCATGTGTTTGAATTTGTACTTACAATTTTACTCTACGGATACGTTATTCGACACGTAAAAAAGTTCGGTTAATATCCTATTCATATTATGAAGTTTATACGAATGTAAATAAACATAATCATTTTTTCTCAAAAGAATAAATAAACATAATCATATACTGAAAATTGTGGTATTCACGATAAATAGTCTAATGATCCTAATGAGTTGGTTTTGAATATTACGCAAAATAAAAGAAGGATTATAGTATGAATTATAGATTTTCGTACTCAATACTTAACTAACAAGTTTAATGTTTTTTCATCTTTTAAAAATTCACTAATAGTGGAACTGTGGAATGAATTAATAAGTACAGGCACTAAATCTCCAGTTATACAAAGTATATATATAGTATATTTCGACTCTCAGTTTTTGAAGGTTTATATGCGTACGTATTGACAAGCTATGAAGACAAGACAAGTATCAAAGTAATATATTTGCCACAAATTGAATTTTGTTATCATGTCTATGATTGGAACATCATCAGATATATGTAGACTGACATATTGTTGGTTGATCTTCTTATGTCTTACATTTTATCCATTGCAGATAGTTATGTCCATCAATTGTTAGACATAATACGAAGCACAAAACTATATACGTATCTATATATAACAATAAAATTGTTACAAGTAGAGCAACAAGTAATGATAATTGGTTGGAAATTAATTAAGGATGGCATGCATAGATGGGTCCCCAACATACGCACTCAAGCATAATACCCAACCTCGCGTGCCAACACAACTACTTATTATATGAAAATTATCTGATAGATCAGTATACATGTTTATACTACTGTTGAACTTTTTTTTTTTAATAACGGTTACTACTAAATTATGTGATATGACTTTATATGCATTTAGCGACGTAGCCTTGCTAGCTACATCAACGCCACTAATTAAGTTAACCAACATCTTAATAGTTTTGTCATTTTTCAAATAGAGTATTCCAATCTAAAAGCTTTTGATAGCTCGATTAGAATTCTTAATATTTAAGAGAATAATTATTTGAAAATAACTAAATTTCCTAAACCCTAAAACCATTAAAAAATATTCCCACATCTATTTGGCAAAGTACAAACTACTAATTAAATTTTTCACTATAGGTTAATAACTTATAAAAGTATATATATAATGTTCAAAATACTTTTTTGT